GAATAGAATAGAATAGAATAGAATAGAATAGAATAGAATAGAATGAGAATGAGAATGAGAATGACAAAGTTGGAAGGGACCTTGAAGGTCTTCTAGTCCAACCCCCTTTAAAACTTCCAGTGTTGGAGCATTCACAACTTCTGGAGGGAAGTTGTTCCACTGATTAATTGTTCTAACTGTCAGGAAATTTCTCCTTAGTTCTAGGTTGCTTCTCTGCTTGATTAATTTCCACCCATTGCTTCTTGTCCTGTCCTCAGATGCTTTGGAGAATAGCATGACTCCCTCTTCGTAGTGGCAACCCACTGAAATATTAGAACACTGCTATCATGTCTCCCCTAGTCCTTCTTTTCACTAAACTAGACATACCCAGTTCCTGCAACCGTTCTTCATATGTATTAGCCTCCAGGCCCCTAATCATCTTTGTTGCTCTTCTCTGCACTCTTTCTAGAGTCTCAACATCTTTCTTACATCGTACCAACTACAACTGGATACAGTATTCCTAGTCAGGCCTTACCAAGGCCTTATAAAGTGGTATGAACACTTCAGGTGATCTTGATTCTATCCCTCTGTTTATGCAGCCTAGAACTGTGTGGCAGCTGAGCTTCAGTTTGAGCATGTGTGACCAATATAAAATTAAGGATAGTGGAGAGGATATAACATGATCTATCTTCTCATGAATTTGGAGTAATTTAAGAATAATTTCAAAGAAGAAGAAGATCACTTTTGGCAGGAAAGGAGGAACAATCCTGAATTATAGGAATCTTTGGGAAAGATAGTTTTGGAAAATATGCATCTCGGTGGCCAAAGGAAAACACTAGACTTCAACACAACGAGGTGAATTATAAAGGCATTATAAAATAGTATTAACACTTCAGATGATCTTGATTCTATCCCTCTGTTTATGCAGCCTAGAACTGTGTTGGCTTTTTTGGCAGCTGCTGTACATTTCTGGCTCACATTTAAGTGATTATCCACCAGGACTCCAAGATCCCTCTCACAGTTACTACTATTGAGTAAGGTACCACCTATAGTATACCTGTGCATTTTGTTTTTCTTGCCTAAAAACAAAATGCACTAGAAATGGTATATGTCCTCTTCTGAGCTACTTAACTGATTTTATTTTCTCTGTGGTCACCTGGATGGATGCCTTTTGTAAGAGATACAATATCAAAAAATTTCATCCTAGCAGTTCCTGACACGCATCCTGAACTTTTCATGTAACAGTTACCATGATAAAAGTTTTACCTTTGCTTTGGACATACCTGATGATGATCCCTTTCAGTAATCCCTGGTGAGAACCAACAGGTCTCTGTAAGAATCCAAAGAAGTCCAAAAGGTAGGTTCCTTTGATAAATCCAGTTTTGTCTGGGTTTGATGTAGATGTGGTGAGGAAGAGAATTTATTCAGCCTCAGGAACAATTTTCTAGGTACAAGAAAGAGGAACTTGCTTAACATTTTGTTATGTAGTTGGAACAAGAAAGTGTTTCTACAAATTTTACGCAAACAAAACTTTGTTGACCACATTATAACTTCAAAGAAAAAAACAACAAGAAATGCCCTGATGAAATCCTTTCCAATCCCATCCCTGTTTATAACGTCTGGAAGATTGGGGAAAAAAAACCCCTTGAAATTGAATCTTAAAGTCTGTTTCATCCTTTGCCTGCAAACATTATTGATTTTTGAAAGTTTTGCATGAAAGTTTTACGGTTATTTGAATGGATAAATAAATACGTTTGTTTCTTTTTATTAGTTGTGAGGTTCAATAGAAGACTGAACAGATTTTATATTTCAGGATATGTTCTTGAAAATGTATATTGAGTTGAAAAGGATTATTTGGAACAATCGGTTAAACAAGGGTTAACCTTGTGGTGCTTTTAAAGATACAGAAAGCATCGTACCTGGGGCTGCCCTTGAAGGATATTCTGAACAACATCTGGTCCAGAATGCAGGAGTCTAAAGAATCATGAAAATTTTTCATTTTGTCCAGGGGACTCTGGTTTGTGAGTTGCCAAGGTCCCTTGGATTGCAAGGCAATTAAACCGGTCAGTCCTAGAGGAGATCAACCTTGACTGCTCTTTAGAAGGCCAGACTCTGAAGATGAAACTCAAAGACTTTGGCCACCTAATGAGAAGGAAAGACTCACTGGAGAAGAGCCTAATGCTGGGAAAGATTGAGGTCAAGAGAAGAAGAGGATGACAGAGAATGAGTTCGCTGGATGGAGTCACTGAAGCAGCAGACATGAGCTTAAATGGGCTCCAGAACATGGTAGAGGACAGGAAGGCCTGGAGGAACGTTGTCCATGGGGTCATGATGGGTGGGACACGACTTCACAACTAACAACAACAAAAAGTTACCAGCAGGCTTGCAGGAAGAATTAAAAATGTTGGTTTTAACTTATAAAGAAATCAGTAAAAGAAAATGACCAGGAAAGAATATTTCCAGAAACTTTCTGACAAACATTTGATAGGAAAATATGTTCTTGACAAAAAGAAATAATATCTGTCCAGAAAAGGAACAGCAGATGTCTCCTCCGTTCTCCCAAAGTTCTTTCCCCAGCGTGTGATAGCTTTCTACTGGATTCCTCTCTGTCTTGCCTTCTCCAATCTCCCTAATTTTAGCCTTTAACCCTCAAATTGTCTATTTTTGGGAGGTTTTCCCCTCTCTTCCCACCTCCTGCATAGGAGTCCCAAAAATTTTGCCACATGTCTTGGGGTGGTGGTCATGTGACTGAGTGTATATGAGTGATGTCAAGTTGGCCATACCTGCCCAGTCACATGACTGCCAAGCCATGCCCACAAAAATAGGCCTCACCCTCAGAATAGGTTCTAAAAAAATTGAAACCCACCACTGCTCATCACGGGTGCTCACAGTCCCACTTGGGTGAGCCTTGTTGAGGGCTTTAACAGCCCCACTCTTGTGAGCATTACCATGAATGTTGCAGGCCCTTGTACTTGCACATGCGCTTGGCCCTGCCACAAAAGCTTGTCCCTGCTCTCTCCACTCTGAGGCCCAAACCCATAAAGGTGAGGAACTCTAAGGCACATTATACTGAATGCACCAGAAACATCCACACAGTCTCAAAACCTCTATGAGTTCCTGAAACTTATACTACTGAACTTGGAAACAATTATTTGGATATAACAGTTATCATGATGAAAGTTCTCCCTTTGCTGTGGACATACCTGGTGACGGTTTGCAAGAATCCCTGGCGTGAACCAACAGGTGAGAATTCAAAGAAACCGAGAAAGCTACATTTCTTTGATGAATCCAGTTTGATCTGTATTTGATGTGGATGCAGAGAGCAAGCAGAATTTATTCAGCCTCACAAACACTTTTCCAATTACAGAAAAGGGGAACTTGCACAACATGTTCTTATCTCTTTCGAATGAGAAAGTCTTTTGACACATTTTACGGAAACAATCATTTGAAGATTTAATCGTAACTTCGGAGGAAAAAAAACTTCACACTGAAATTCTGTCTAATTTCATCCCTCTTCATAACTTCTGGNTAACAAAAACAGTCTAAAATATATTGAGGGAAAAAAAGGATAGAAGATTGATACCATCTTTACATTGAGCTAATCCTATATTTTCCAGAGCAGGTTTGTCTGAATTAATTTTTCAGATCCTGGCTGGGAGATATAGAAATAGGAATTGTTTCCACTCTTGTCACTACAACATGAAGGGATATCATTCTGGACTATTGGTTGCTTTTCATTCTCTTCCTCTTCCTCAAAAACTCTCTGAAGGCTCATTTTTCCGTGGCACATGGTTTGATATGCCTTCTTTCTCCCCACCAGAAAATAGATCAGTGGGTTAACACTGCTGTTTAGACAGGCAAACAGGTAGCCGTACATCATGAATTTTAAACGCTTTTCGTTGTAAATAACATTGATTATACAAATGTCAATTAGTGGCAAAGAAAAGATGAGGAAGAAAAAGAGGGCAAGGAGGATAGCTTTGGGAAGCTTCTCTTGCGTTTTCATTCGTGATTTAAGGTAACTTCTGACAAAGAGGGTCAGACTCGAGAACGCAATGAGTGGGGCGCAAACTGAGGTGCATGTGAGAAAGTGGTAGAGTGGGGGCACTGCTTTACCCCAAACAGTCAGAAACAGAGCGTAATTTATGGCGTAGATAAATAAAGAGATTATCCACGCGGCGCAACAAATCATGGTGGACAGGCATATGGACTGACGGTATTGATACCAAATGGGGAAGAAGAGAGCCAAACACCGGTCAATGCTGATGATAGTCAGAAAAAGTTGACCAGTGCAGTAAGTCCATATGAAACCTTCTAGTATTTCTATGTGAAAACCCTGATCAATTAGGTATTGAATTCCATGCAGAAAAAGGAATATGAGAGTCCCACTCTGAGCCACAGCCAAATTGAGGATATAGACAGTGAAAGGATTCCTCTTAATCTTGAAACCCAAATGCTGGATGACAATTCCATTTCCAATAAACCCTGGAATGCAGATTAAAACAATTAAAGAATAGATGACATTTTTCAGACAATCGGGCTCATAAAAGCTGTCCTTGGAGTCGATGGCATTAGTCTTATGGTGTTCATTATAACTATATGTTAAATTTATCATTCCTGCATCCATTACTACAGGAAGGATGGTTGCCATGTTGGTTGTTGTGTTCTGTGGAAATAAAATTTATTTTGATTTCCCCCCCCTCTCAGCTTCTGGTTGAGAATTAACAATGGATCCAGAGAGCTGAAGAACAAACCACTCTCCCTTATTTTAGTCAATAGAGATCACAGGCCATTTGCATCAGTTTTGATTTTTCCAAGATGGAGGATGTGGAAAACCTTCAGGTGAAATCACCTCAGTTATCCTTTTGTGTACGGCTGCACTGGTTCTTGCTTAAGAAGGCAAAAGTGGCGATGTGGGTGCCTGTAGATTATTATTCTCTCCCATCAGTTTTCATCCATTTGGATCAGTTCATCATCTGACATCTATAACTTTCTGGAACAAATGAAGAACTTGACTCCTACAAAATAAAGAACTTGGTTCACCTCAAAGCTTTTCCACACAAGCAAAGCAAAAATGTCTCATGGACGACAGCTTATTCAATCACTTTGCCAGATAAAAGAGGATGTCCTTTTCAGTTTTATGGGGAGTTTGCTTTCCTCTGGTTCTTCCCAAGAACTGTGTTGGCCCTCTGGAGGCCCTCTTCCATAACTTCTGGGAGGCCCATTTTGCCCCCACCCCGAGCCTCCGCACGAGCCCTGCACTTACCTCACATCCAAAACGGGACACTCCTGGGAGGGGTGTGGTGTGGTGGGCATAGCCAGATAATTATAATAATAATTATATCTGTCCAGAAAAGCAAGAACATATTTGTGGGTCACTGCAGATTAGGACTTAATATGGTTTACAAGCCGAGGTGGCGCAGTGGTTAGAGTGCAGTACTGCAGGCCACTTCAGCTGACTGTTATCTGCAGTTCGGCGGCTCAAATCTCACCGGCTCAAGGTTGACTCAGCCTTCCATCCTTCCGAGGTGGGTGAAATGAGGACCCAGATTGTTGGGGGCGATACGCTGACTCTGTAAACCGCTTAGAGAGGGCTGAAACCCCTATGAAGCGGTATATAAGTCTAACTGCTATTGCTATTGCTATATGTCCTAATCTATCAAGCCTGGTCAAGGATTTTATAAGTCCTTATTGGTCAAGCCTGAGCTCTTGGTAAAAGAGTATTGGCCTTTTACTTAAAATGGACAGCTGCAAAAGGTGGAAATGCTTTAAAGCACTCTATACGGGATGCACCAGAAACTTCCTCACAATCTCCCAATAGATGTGAGAAAACCATATTGGGTTCATTAGTGCTTTTATGGCAAGCAAGCCATAAATGAACATACAGATAGTGATGTTGGTTAGGTCTTACATTGCATCTAACATCTTCTTTAAAACTTCCAGTGTTGGAGCATTCACAACTTCTGGAGGGAAGTTGTTCCACTGATTAATTGTTCTAACTGTCAGGAAATTTCTCCTTAGTTCTAGGTTGCTTTTCTCCTTGATTGGTTTCCACCCACTGCTTCTTGTCCTGCCCTCAGGTGCTTTGGAGAATAGCTTGACTTCCTCTTCTTTGTGTCCACCCCTGAGATATTGGAACACTGCTATCTTGTCACCCCTAATCA